TACAAACAGTCCACCCAAACAGCTGCCCTGCCAATGTGCCCAAGACACTTTTAGGGCCCCAAATAGCTCTGTGTTTTCTTTCAGGATTCAGAAAACAGAAAATCATTCAGTTCGGGACATATGAAACCAGAACCCCAGAACCACAAACACCAGACGTGAATGTGCTCTCCTCCAGGACAGCCTGGATTGGCTGCACTCCCTCATATAGCATCACCACGCAGGAAGGGGACCCCACGAACAGAGTAGCCCCACCTCCCAGACCGGCAGAGGACAACCAAAAGGAGCAGCTGCTACCATCAGGCAATCAGGCTGCGGTCCCCGCGAGCCTTCAGCAGGGCAAGTGGCCGTCGAGGAGGAGGCTCACTGGTTACTCAGTGCCCCAAATATTGTTTCCCAAACACGCCCCTTGGGATGCTAGTTGCCTGGGAGACATCAAAACTTTACATAGCAGGATTTTCTTGGTTATTTAAATTTCTTTTTTTCTTTTTAAATGTATTTAATATAAGGTCTACAGGGTCTCACCACACAGATCAGACTCAGTGATCCTCCTGTTTTCAGCATTACAGGCACATGCCACCCCCATCTCGGTGCACACCCGGGGGCGGGGGGTCAGCACGGCACACCAGGATCAAACCTAGGTCCCTGCGCCTACCTAAGCAGGCGTTTTAGTCTGCTGAGCTATCTCGCAGGTCCTGATTACTTGAATTTCAAGAAAAGCAGTGTGCTCTGCTCTCCCTTCTTACAGAGTCACCACACTTAAAGTCTGCGAGAAGCCATAAGACAAATCTGTTTCTTCCTGCTGTGAGTTAGATTGTGCCACCAAATAGATATATTCGAGTCTGAAGCCCTGGCTCCTATAAATAGGAACTTATTGGAAAATTCTATGTAGTCTTTGCAAATGTAATCAAGATGAGGTCGTACCACACTGGGGTTGATCCTACATCCCATGCCAATGTCCTTACAAGGGGTGAGGTGATGCTGGCCCTAGCCCCTGGGGCACTCTGAAACAGCAACTGAGACTGGGCGTGGCAGCGTGTACCTGTAATCCCAGCTCTTGGGAGGCTGTAAACAGAAAGATCACTACGAGTCCTATCTAGTAGTGCGACCCTGAACACCCTGTAGATCCTTCCCTAAAATACAAAAAGAAGAAGAAGAAGAAGGAGAAGAAGGAGAAGAAGAAGAAGGAGAAGAAGCAGCAGCAGCAAGGTGATCTGGCTCTACAAGGAGACAGCATGTGGAGGTGGAGATCCCAGTTCTATGGCCAGGAACACCACGGGTTGAGGGCAGCCCCGAGAGGCTGAGAGGCAGGGGACCCATTCTTTCTTTCTCTGAGCCCCCACATATCTGGCCCTCCTGACATGATTCCACACTCCTTTTCTCCATGACAATGAGAGAAAACATTTCCTTTTTAAGCCACTTGTTTTATTATGGCCACTGTAGGTTGCCAGTATAACTTTTGAAGCACTCCCAAACTAGTCTCGTCCTAAAAATCTTTTTAATCATACCTGTCAGTATTCGAGAAACATGGTGCTGGTGAGATGGCTCAATGGTCTAAAGCACCTACTTAGAACAAGCTAAGCAAAGCACAGGGACCACGGTTCAATCCCCAGCACCACATGCCAGCCAGCCCCACCTCCTGGTGGGCTGAGCTGGCCACACACACACACACACACAAAATAAATAAATAAAAATTTTTTAAAAAAGTATTCGAGAAACACAATTTGAAATTTGGCTTAGGAAAAAGAGATAGAGGTCCATCCCGTGTAGCAGGGGATTTTTAGGCCGCATCTCCATCTTCCCACCCCTCATCCTTTCTGGGGAGCAGATTCTGGGTGTGCTGACATTTATTCTGCTGAGGAAAACATCGAAAACTCTGGTTTCCTTCTTGTCCTTTTTAAAAATTCTTTTGTTTATGTATTTGGTACAGGGTACACAGTTAGGACTCATAGTGATCCTCCTGTCTCAGTCTCCCCAGAACGGGGATTACAGGCATGCACCACCATGCCTGGTTTTGGGCCAGTGCAGCAGGCCTGAGGCGGGGCCAGCTGAGCTTGTGGCACTGAGGATCGAAGCCAGGTCCTTGCACTTGCCAAGCAGGTGCTTAGACCACTGAGCTGTCTCAGCAACCCCTTGCCCATTTTTTTTTTACATGCACTTTGGTAGACAGTCTTTTAGGGAGTACAAGAAGATAATGTTTGGCTAGAGTATTCTGATTCTATCTGTGGAAGGCAGTTACTAAGATATAGTTGAGCATCCATTTTCTTCAGGTAACTGAAGAAAGAGGGACCATTAGGGTTTACATTAAAATCCCAGCACTGTGCTTCCATGTGCCCCACCCCTGTACCATTTTCCCAGAACAGCTATTCAGTGGTGAGGAAGGGCTCTTGTTCATGCAGCTTTGGTAAAGGGATATTACAGTAGGAGAGGGGCACAAAACATTCCTCCGCAACTCGGTGGGAGTTGTGTAGCAGCTCTTCAGCACAGCTGCCTTCTGCTGCAGCGGCAGATGTCAAGTTCAGGCATCTCCGTGGGCCCCACTGCCTCGGTGTCCACGGCACGCAGGCAGGCAGCCAAGGTGAAGGCTTTCTCCAGTCGTGCCCCACCTCGTAGCTGCTGAAGTCCACAAGTGCTGGATCGACGTGCTCAGTCATCGCCTCGGCAGTGATGCGAATGCTTCTCTGAGGATTCCAAGCCTTATGTTTTTATTTTTTAACCTCCTAGAAACTGTGCGGGAAAGGGCCAAAATTAGGAGCCAAGTCCAGTAGCAATAGTGAAGTATGGTTGGGGGCAGGGCTTGGCATCCCCACTATCTCCAGCATCCTTCCTTCTGGTGTAGAAATCTGTTAAAAGCATTGACAAAAGCTGATGCCCTGGCATTAAGTTACCAGCCAACAGAACTCCCGACGCCCCAGCCCCGGTCTTCCGTATCATATTGCTAAACACTTACATCAGCTTGAGTTTCAACTGGACACCTCTTGTGGTGGATCCAGTTGTAACTTGTAATTTTTTCTCAGACCCCTTCTCTGCGGGTGCAATTTCTAGGGGTTCCTCTGTCCCCTGTGGTGGGTCATCCTGATCTCATTTGCTCAGTTTGGGATTAATAGTCCAATCCAGTAATGTAAATCTAGGCCCCATAGCATCTACATAGCACATATCACGTGGGATTTCATGCCTAAAATCCAGACCTCAGGTGTATGTACCCAGTGACAGCCTAGGCAATGCCACCTGTGTGTCACAGGCTCCTCAAAGCCAACTCATCCAACATTGATCTCCTCTCAGGAAACCTTTGACTCCACCGGATCCTTCATTTCTCCAGTGTGCAGACAGCCATATTGGATTCTTCTATGGCCCATTTGGCAGCCAGCCAGCAGGACTCCTCCTGATACTGTCATGTCACTTCATAAATCCCTTGTATAATCACATATATATACACGCACATATAATCTCTTCTGTAGAGAACCCCAACTAACATAGCTGCCTCTTGATATGAGGCTAGGGTCCTTCATGTACACTCAGGAAGACTTTTCATGTAAGTATGCATACAACATCCAGGATGAGGCACCTCAAAGTTGGCTCTGGAGACAGCAGTGGGCTCCTTGTCCCTCACGGCAAGGTCAGACCCAAGTCCCCCCTGGAGTGCAGTACTGGGAGGACACCAGTCATCTCAGTGGGCTCCCATCACTTTCCCTAGACCCCCTCAAGAGCACATCACACTAAATCTGACATAGTCCTCAGTCCTGGCAGAGGTATTTCCATATCCATATCCTTCCTCTTGATATTCTAAGCAGAAAGAAAAGCATCTCTGGGTTCTTGCATGTGAGACTTTTTGGTGGGAAAAATGGGATTGTTTTCGGTACCAGGACTCAAACTCAGGACATCACACTTGCCAGACAGGTGCCATGCCACTGAGCTATATCTCCAGTACTCTCACACATGAGCCTAGGTGGCTCCAAGTCTAAAATAGTTCACTAAATCATTTTCTGTTTCACTTGCCTAACTTCCAAGAGCCAAAGAGCTAAGCGCAAAAGGAATGGTCTATCCAAACTGCACACCCACTACTGGAAACGTAGACCATTAGTGGGATCCTGAAGAATATTTAATAAGTGTTGAATACCTGCTGTGGGCTTAATTCCCAGTACTACAGTCCATCAATTATTAAAATAAGAATGCTTTTACCAAAAAATAATGAAAGCTCATTGCTATGATCTGAATGTCTGTGTGCCCCCAAAATTTGTATGCTGAAGAATCTAGATTACCCGAAGGTGATGGTATTGGGGGAGGCCATAGGATCAGTGTCCTTGTAAAAGAGACCCAAGAACTACTTGTCCTGCCACTGTCACACACAAGAGAAGACATATCTGTGGGCCAGACAATGACCTCACCAAGCACTGAACTGTTAGCACCTTGAGTTGGGACCTCCCAGGCACCAAAACTATAGGAAATGAATTCCTGCTGTCTATTAGCCCCCCTGTTTGTGGGGGTCTGTTATAGCAGAGTGAGGGCACTAACAAGCTCACATTATGTCCTTGTTTTGCCATTAATGTAGAGGCAGCTGGGCCAGGCGTGGTGGCATAGGCCTGCAATCCTAGCACTCAGGAGCTGACGCAGGAGGATTACCATAACTTCAGCAAATATATATGAAAATAAAATATAAATGAATAAAACCAACTGCAGGCTGTGAATTAGTAGGATTGCATTAATGTCATGCTCCTTGAGTTTGATATTTGTGTGTGATTGTTTGAAGATATGTGTGACCTTAGGAGAACTACACAGAATATGTAGGTACAGAGGTTTAGAGAAGTATGACATCTGCCACCCAAAAGGGTTCTGCAAAGCAATGATAGTAATTGTGTGTGTGTGTGTGTGAGAGAGAGAGAGAGAGAGAGAGAGAGAGAGAGAGAAAAAATGTAGACAGACAGAACTGTAGAACCTAGGCAAAGATATTTGTTGTATGATCCTTCTAACTTTCCTGTACATTTTCAAAACCTAAGATTCAACAAGACCAAGACCAGTGATTCTTCATTGGAATTCAGGGTTTAATTAAGAACGGCTACACGGTCAGCCCCAGCCCCCAGAAGAGGCTCGCCAGGGCACAGCAGCCAGGTCTGCTCAGGTTTGCCTGGGAAAGTCCACACCTGCAGACAGAGGGACAGGGTTAGGTGTGGCCTCTCCTGCGTGACTGTCACCAGCCAGTCCGCAGCCATTGCATCTGCCTTGGGGACCCCTCGAGGCAGCTGTCACATCTCCAGGTGAAGCCTCTCAGAATCCTGCTCTTCTAGGTGTCACTAGTGTTCACACTATTTTTGGAAGGTTCTTTGATGCACCGGAAGGGAATAAACCTCGCTTTAAGGGCGCCGCTGGCTGCCAGTTGTCCAGCTCCTCAACTTCCCTGATCTCGTTCTTCAGCTGGTCGGCCTTCTCCTTCACCCAGAAAGGCAGGCTGCAGGAACAAGATGGAACTCCGGGTGGCTGCTCGTCTGGTGTGGAATCACACACACCAGCCGTGCTCGCGCCACCATGCCCAGTCTCAGTCACTGTCTCAGTGCACCCCAACTTCCAACACACTCATGCCCTAGAAGCAGAGAGCCGACCTTTTGCTCCGTCTCCTATCCCAGCGTGCCTACCATGCTCGGAGGCATTGGGCAGCTGACCCACCTTGTCTGTAGGACACACACACAGCCCAAGTGCCGAGGTCAGGGACCTGCAGCCCCCATGTGTCTCCAGAGCCCTCCCTGACACTGCCTGTGCTCCTGTTGAGGCTCAGGAGGCCCCCAGGGTTGGCAGTCTACAGCTCCTCCCCACAGAAGACAGAGACACCCACCTGGGAGCAGGTGGAAGAGGCTCAAGTGGAATAAATGTGTCAAACTTCTTCTGGTACGGCACCCTGAAAACCAGAAGGACATCCTGAGGTCACGCTGGCTATGCCAGTGTAGCCACCAGTACATCATTGGATTCTTTCCAAAAAGATCTCCTTTATTGGTTTTAATTTCAACTATGGACTTTTTGATAGGTGTTTTTCAGGTGAACGGCACAGCAGAGAAACAGGCAGAAGGAAAAAGGGAAAGGGGCTTTATTAGAAAGGGAAAGGGGCTTTATTAGAAAGGGAAAGGGGCTTTATTTTCTTGGAGGACACAGTGAGAATTTGGGAAGATAAGAAATTCTCTGGGCTGGACAAAGGAAGGCTGAGGCTTCTATGATCTTCTGCCAGAGGAGGGATTTGAAGGGCACGCTTAGCTATATCTGAGAAACTGATTGGGGCTCTTCTCTGAGGCGGCAGGAAGGGTCTAAGTAAATTATGTCCTGGGCTAAGTTGGGCAACAAGGGGGAGGTGGTCCTGGGAGCACAGGCCTTTGTTTTAAGGGCATATTAGATGACCACCACAATGATTTCAGCAATTCACACTAGGGCCCGAACCTATCACTTTTAAACTGCAACAGTCATAATCTGTATTGCTTTTTATAAATTTTAATTAAAATCCATATATCAGGATTTTTTAAAAAAATATTTTAGTTGATGATGACCTGGATCAGTAAAAAAAAAATAAATAAATAAAAATAAAAAAAATATTTTAAGGGGGCCAGGGAGATGGCTCAGTAGAATAAGCACTTGCCTGGCAAGCACAAGGGCCTGAGCTCAATCCCCAGTTCTGCAAAAAAAATAATAAAAATAAAAATATTTTAAGTATAATACAATAATTATCTCTTTTTATTTATTTACCTTTTTTTTTTTATATTGTACTGGGGGATTGAACCCAGGACTTTCACACTGAGCTTCGTTCTCAGCCCTTTTTATTTTTTATTTTGAGACATGGTCTAAGTTGTCCATTTCCCCTGAAGAGATTCGAACTTGTGATCCTCCTGCCTCAGCCTCTCAGAGTGCTGGAATTCAGGCATGAGCCTCCATACCTAGCTTCTCTGCTAACTTAATGGTTTTCTCACACTTGCTCAATCACTTAGTTTAAGTTTAAGTCAGTCTCTCTCTTATTCTCTCTCTCTTTCTTTCTCTCTGTCTCTCCCTTTTGAGACAGGGTCTTGCTATGCAGTTCAGGCTGGCCTCGAACTAAGTATGGAACCTGATAGGTTTTGACAGTGTCACAGCTAGAAACAGGCAGAAGGAAAAAGGGAAAGGGGCTTTACTAGAAAGGGAAAGGGGCTTTACTAGAAAGGGAAAAGGGCTTCATTATCTTGGAGGACACGGAGAGAATTTAGCTTCCTAAATTCCTAAGAATTCCTAAGGAATTCTCTGGATTGGAACAAAGGGAGGCTGAGGCTTTTTATGGCCTGTTGCCAGGGGTGGGGCTTGAGGGGGATGTTTAGATATATCTGAGGAGCTGACTGGGGCCTTCCCTGAGGTGGCAGGAAAGATGAAAGGAAACTGCACCCTGGGCTGAGTTGGAGAAGGGGGGAGGTGGTCTCTGGGAAGATGAGCTGTTGTTTTAAGGGCTTCAGCCATACTGGATGACCACCATAATAATCCAGCAGTTCATACTAGGGCCAGCGCCTATCAGAACCCAGACTGGCCTCAAACTCACAGCAATCCTCCTGCCTCAACTTCCTGAGTGCTGGGGTTATAAACATGTGCCACCACATTCAGCTATAATCACTATCTGACTCAGCATGAAAATTCAAAAGTCTTCAACTTGGTGGTAATAGAAATAGGAAAAAATTAGCAACCACCGTTCGGTAGTCAAGATCTTGCATGTCAGTGTGTACATGTATTGTAATGTCCCACTGTATTCCATAAATACCAGGTGTCGATTAAAAATAAAAATACACTTTTAAAATCTTTTTTTAAATTTTAAAAATCTTGCATCCTTCATAATTTCAATCACACCTGTGTGCACATGCTAACTAAAAGGGAACTTTGTAAGTTTTTATCTCCTTACGTCTTGTTGCCATCTATCCCTTTAAAAATGTAATTTACACACAGCAGAGAAACCATTCCTTTAAAGTTAAAGAAATAACCCTGGAACCAGCATGTACTCACAAGGAGAAGCTCACCAGCGGCAGAGTAGACCCTGCCTGGTGGAAGCCTTTACTCTGTTCTGGGAAGAGATAAGGGTTGTCCCCTGGAGCTAACTTCGGGATTCCATTCCTGGGATCGATATCTGTAGAAAACATTGGAAAACAGCCTCATCACACAAAGGGCTGACTGGTGACCTGCAAATCAGGAATTCCCTGGAAGGGTCTTAAAGTTCTGTGTGTGATTCTCTCAGAATTGTGGAGATAAAGCTCAGAGTCAGAGCCGAGATTGGGACATTTTCTAAAAGGTACCGTTTCCCAGCACTTCACGCCGCGCTGGCCCGTCCCCGGGGCGCCGAGCCAGCCACCCAGATGGTCACGGTGGCGCACACCTGTAATCCCCTTGCTGGGGAGGCTGAAGACAGGAGGATCACTACAAGTTCAAGCTGCCTAGTGAGACCCTGTACCAAGTACGGTAAGAATAAAAAAATAAAAGGCGCTGTCACGATCACCCCCTCCCCCAGGAAAGCATGGGCTTGGGTTCAGAAGGGGTTTCCATTTAGCACACACGGTGCTGGAAAGGAGTCGGTGCAAGGATTCCAGACACGGCTGACCCGACTGCTGGGAGTCCTGTGCCTCGTGCTGCAAGGATGGGGCACCAAGCGTTCTCGGAATGATAACCCAGGAAGGGCGGTCCTCCTACCTCAGCTTCCCAGAGTGCTGGGATCACAGATGTACACCACCATGACTGACTTTAAAAAAAAAAGAAAGAAAGAAAGAAAGAAAGAAAGAAAGAAAGAAAGAAAAGAAAAAGAAAAAGAAAAAGAAAAAGAAATTTTTTCAAAAGACTTTCCAGGGGTTTGAGGCCAGCCTGGGCTACATAGTGAATCCAAGGACAGTCTGAACTATGTAGCAAGACACTGTCTCAGAGAGAGAGAGAGAGAGAGAGAGAGAGAGAGAGAGACAGACAGACAGACAGACAGACAGACAGACAGACACAGAGAGACAAAGACTAATAAGCAAGTAGATATTCCAAAGAGGTGGGACAAAAAGCTAGTAGAGGCAGTGAAGATGTGAGTAAGTGGCAAAGCCCTTGCCAGGTGTTGGGAAAGACTCAGGGGTGTTGGCCACAAACAAAGGCACAAGGACACTTAATGTAAGCAAAGCCAGGGCTAGAACAAAAAGGCTGCCGCCCTGCCTTTGGTCTGTATTTTTGAGTCTCAGCCTTCAGGTTACTTTAGGTGAACATAACAAGATCCTATCGTATGTGTCCAAGATTAATGTTTAGGCTATACTATACATGAGAACCTGTTAGGCATCTGGGAGCAAGGACACAAAAGCAGGGTGTCCTTGAGTTCCAAGTGTTCTTGGTTATTCCCACAGCTATTTCTACCCTGTTTTCTTTTTCCTTGTTCCACATGCCCTGCAGGTTATTTAACACATCTCTATATTAACTCTTATCCCATTAGCCAGGCAAGGCCTTGGGTTCAATCAATCTACAGTCTAGAAAAAATATATATTTTTTAAATAATTTAAAATCGGGGCTGGTGAGATGGCTTAGTGGTCTAAAGTACCTACTTGAAACAAGCTTAGCAAAGCACAGGGACCGCGGTTCAATCCCCCAGCACCACATGCCAGCCAGCCCCGCCCCCTGGTGGGCTGAGCGGGCCACACACACACACACACACACACACATAAATAAATAAATAAAATTTTTTTAAAAAATAATTTAAAATCAATCATTCAGAGAAGAGAAATAAAAAGGAAGGAAGTTATAGCATATGAGTTGCAGACAGGGTGGTCTGCACCATTTTGAGCAAGGTCTATCCCCATTGTCCCCCCCCCAAAAAAAAGAAAAAACAAGTAAGAGAGCCAGGTTGGGACAGGAGCACTGCTGTGAATTCAAGGCCAGAATAAAATACATAAGGAGACCCTGTCCCCTGCCAAAGGACAGCATCAACAGAAAAAAGAAAGAAAGAAAAAGAAACAAAGCAAAGACAAAGACTTTCCAACAGCTGTAAGATTCTGTATCTTCTAAATCCCAAACCCAGGCCGGGACAGGTGAGCGTCATTGTCCGGGACAGCAAGACATTCTGTTGTGGAGTTTGGACCTCAGAGGCAACCACACCTAAAGTGCAAGTGAAACTCTGCAATTTTTGCCCTTGAGCTGTTTAACCTCCCTGAGCCTCCATAACTTTTGTGAACTGCTTATTTTGAATGTCAATTTCACAGAGAGCTCATAAGGAATGAAAACAGTGTGAGTACATGACTGGCGCTCAAGAACTGCCAGCAATCAGTAAACACAATCCACCACATTAACAGAATCAGGATAAAAACCACATGGTTATCTTAATAGATATAGAAAATGCCTTGGACAACGTCCAACACCCATTCATGTTTAAAAGAAAAAAAACTACAGAAAAATAGAATAGATGGTCTTTATCTCAGTCTGATAAAATCCACCTATGACAAACCAACAGGCAACATCATACCAAATGATCAAAGATGAAAGTGTTTGCTCTAAAATCAGGAACAAGACAAGGATGTCCTCTCTCACCCTGCCTGTTCAATATGGTTTTGGAGACATTAGCCCAAGCCATTAGACAAGAGAAAAACTTAAAATGGATTCAGATAGGAAAAGAAGAAGTTCAACTATCATTATTTACCGATGATATGATACTCTACACAGAAGACCCCAAAAACTCCACCAAAAGGCTCCTAGAATTAATAACCAAATTCAGCAGCATAGCAGAACCAAGGAGCACTGCTGTGAACCCAAAACTCAAAAATCAATAGTATTCCTGTACATAAACAACAAACTCACTGAGAGAAAAATTAGGGAAACAGCACCTTTCAAAATAACATCAAGAAAAATTAAATACTTAGGAATCAATCTAACAAAGGAAGCATGGGCTGGGGATTTGGCTCAGCAGTAGAATGCTTGCCTAGCAAGCTGGAAGCCCTGGGTTTGGTTCTCAGAAAAAAAAAAAAAAAAAAAAAAACCAAGAAAGACAATAAAGGAAGTGAAAGACCTATACACTGAAAACTATTATACTCTGAAAAAGGAGATTGAAGAGGATATCTGAAAACAGAAAAATGTCCCCTGTTCTTGGATAGGCAGAACCAATATAGATGGTCTTCATCTCAATTGGCCATACTTCCAAAACTGTTGTACAGTTTTAATGTAATCACAATTAAGATACCAATATCAGGGGCTGGTGAGATGGCTCAGTGGTCTAAAGCACCTACTTAGAACAAGCTTAGCAAAGCACAGGGACTGCGGTTCAATCCCCCAGCATCACATGCCTGCCAGCCCCGCCCCCTGGTGGGCTGAGCTGGCCACACACACACACAAACACACACACACATAAATAAAATTAAAAAAAAAAAAGATACCAATATCATACCTCACAGAACTGTACAAAACAATCCTAAAATTTATAAGGAACCAAAAGAGACCTAGAGTAGCAGAAGCAATTTTAGGCAACAAAGGCAAGGCAAGGGGCACCACAATTCCTCATCTGAAATTGTACTACAAAGCAAAGTACTGGGGGGAAAAAAAACACCAACGATCAGTGAAACACACTAGAAGATGTAGAAAGAGCCCCAAGCACACTCAGCTTCCTTACCTTTGACAAAGGGCCCAAACCCCTCACTGGAAGAAAGTTTATAATAAATGGTGCTGGGAAAACTGGTTTTCCACACATCAAAATCGAACGTAGACCCCTTTTCTCACCATGCACTAAACTAAAATCAAAATGGATCTAATGTTGAAATATAAAAACAGAAACAGGGGCCGGGGAAATGGCTCAGTAGAATAAGCGCTTCCCTGGCAAGCGCAAGGGCCTGAATTCAATCCCTGGTTCCGCAAAAAAATAAAAATAAATAAATAAAAATAAAATAAAAACAGAAACAATCCTTAGGAAGACACAATGAGTCTGTTTTGTTTTTTTAATTTGGCACAGGATCTCACTATGCAGTTCAGACTCATAGTGATCCTCCTGTTTTTAGCCTCCCCAGCGCTGGGATTGCAGGTGTGCACCACCACGCCTGGTTTCAGTAGCATTTAGACCACTGAGATATCTCCCCAGCCCCAAGTACAGGCAAAGACTTTATGAACAACACCCTGATTGCACAGCGAAAAAAAGAAAAAAAAAGAAAAAAAAAAAAAAAAAAACCAGCAGGGATCACATCAAATAAAAAAGCTTTTGCGCAGCAAATGAAATCACCAGTCCAGAAATGGACATCTGAAATAAACAGACATTTCTCAGGTAAAGAAGTACACACAACAAATATTTGAAAAAATGTTTAACACCCTTCATCATTCGAGAGGTGCAAATTAAAACAAAGTGAGATTCCATGTCACTCCAGAAAGAATGGGGCTACCATCAAGAAACCAAGCAGTAGCAAACGCCGGTGGGGCTGTGGAGGGAAAGGAACCCTTTGCCACAGCCAGTGGGAGAGTAGACCGGTACAGTCACAGTGGAAATCAATGTGGAGACTCCAGAAAACACTAAAACTGGAGGTTCCACTTGACACAGCTGTTCTCCTTCGAGGTATCTTCCTGGAAGAATTAAAAGCATCACACCACAGGGATATATGCCTGTATTTATAGCAGCACGATTTGTAATAGCTAAACCTTGGAAACAGCCAATATTAGCATCAAAAGATGAATGGGTAAAAAATAAAAAGTGGTGTTTCTATACAGTGGCATACAAGTCTGCCATAAAGAAGACTGAACTTGAGTCATTTGTAGAAAAATGGGTCCATTTCAATACCGTGGTCTTACATGACTCAGACACACAAGCCTAAATAACATTGTTTCTGTTGTGAGAGAAATGCGCAGGACAAATAAGGAACAGAATGGAGGTTAGATATTGGGAAGTAGGAAGAAAACATTCAAATGGGAAGAGAAAAAAAGGAGCGGAGGGAGGGAGGGAATGAAAAGAAGGGGAGGGCCACTGATACAGTTTAGCAGACTAAAGCTCCTGCTTAGGCGAGTTTAGGCAAGCGCAGGGAACGCAGTTCCATCTCTGGCTCCACAAGCCATACCAGCCACACTCCCAGGATGGGCTGAGCCTGCCAGAGTTGGGGCGTAGGGGCATATACCTGTAATCCCAGCTCTGGGGAGGCTGAAAGCAGGAGGATCACTATGAATCTGAGCTGCATAGTAAGATCCTGTAACAACCAAATATATGAAGAAGGAGATGGAGAAATTGGATGAGGAAGAGGAAGGAGAAGGAGGAGGAGGAAGGAGGAAGAAGAGAAAGAAGGAGAGAAAAGGAATAAAAGGAATGGAAATAAAGCTTTTGTAACTGAGGAGGAGAAGAAGGGTTGAAGGAAAGGGGGAAATATGGAAAAAAAGAATTAAAATATGTGATGTACAGGTATAAATTCCCTACGATGAATGTGATCCACATGTATGACAAATACATATACTAACTAAAAATAAAAATTTTAGGTCTGGGGATATGGCTCAGTAGTACAAGCACCTGCCTGGCAAGAGTAAGGTCCTGAGTTCAATTCCTGGTACCAATAGTGCTAATAAATAATTTTTTAAAAATGATAAACTTACCTCAGAGAAAAACAACAAAAAAGAAATGGAGGTAGTTATTATTCTTTGAGATCAAGACTGGAGAAATAACTTGCCCATCACATTAGTTTTCATCTGAGAAATCCAACTGCCACCCAGCTAAGGTAGAATCCTCTCTTTTGAGAACCTTATATAATTGGGGAACAAGACAAGGACATAAAAAATACTACAGGGCAGTAAATATCACACATTACAGACCTGTGGCTCTGAGGATCGTTAAAAATGCAGGGTCCTAGCTTGGTGTGGTGGTGTGTGCCTGTCTTCCCAGCACTCTGACAGGTTGAGGCAGGAGGGTTACAAGTTCAAGGCCAGCCTGGGTAAGTTAGTGACTTGAAAGGATGCTGTCTTAAAATTATAGCTATAAAAGACTGGCTATGCAGATCAATGAGAAGTCCCTGAGTTGAAAAAAAGAAAAACGCAGCTTCTTGGCTCTAACTGGAGAAATTGTTTCAGAAGATCTGGAATGTTTCCCAGAACCAGAATTTTTTTTTAATTCTCTGATTGATTATGATGTAGGCAATCTGAGGACAATGCTTAGAAAGACACTATCATAAACAATCTCACAAGGAAGGATCAGCAAGTGGAGAAAGAGCCAATGGCCTAAATGCAAGGATATTACTTTTTAGGGTACACCTACCAAATGACACTTCTGAGAGTACACATTTGTGTCAGCTACAAGGTATAACATGAACCTTGATATAATTTCCAAACATTCCACAAAAAATAGGTGTCAGCCCAGAGCACTAGCCCATCCATACCCAGAGCCAATGGCCTCATGACACTTCCCAGTATGTCCCATGCTTGTTAAGCTCTCGGACCATCCATCGTGCTGGTATTCAGGTGTCCAGGGTTGGGATGCAAGGCTTTCACTCCACAGCCTCCCCCTCCCCCACCCCCGCCCCATGCATTCACACCCCGTGCTTTCAGCACTTAGGCTGAACCTTGCTCTGATCAACGTGCTGTGAGCAAAGGCAATATGGCTCAGTTCCAAGATGTGGCATTTTTGAAGAGCTCACGTTGACCTCCCAGCACTTTTTACCCTGATGTGGCAAACTTAGGAGCCACCTGTAAGATGTGGGAAAGTCACAGGGTAGAAGCAGAGGGATCCCCAAGTCACCATCTGGCAGGGAGCCCAGGACTGCTGTGGGTCCACAGAGGACTTTACAAGAGGAAAAAACAATTTTAATGATTAAGCTGTTGAGATTTCAAGGGTTGTTTGTTAATGCAGAAGAATCTGTCCTACTCTGACTAATTCAACATGCTGTACTCTGGAAAAAGCTATACAGATGAAAATTGCATTTCTGGTTCCATTCCCTACAACCTATTGGCATCATATATTCTTTCTTCTGTGGCAACCATTAAGCCTTCAGAAAATTCCACCAACAGTCTCATCCTGGCTGGTAAGCTAAGACAACATTAAATATATTCCAACTGATTTTTTTTCTCTATGATAGTATATGTCCAGTTTAAAATGACAGCTGGCGGGCAGCTCCTAGCCATCCCTCTGTATTCTGTCCAAGAAATAACAAAGGGGAAGAGAATTCCACAAAGGAAGATGCATCCAGTGTGGAATTTAAGAGTATCAAATGTAAGCCAGGCATGGTGGCACACACCTGTAATCCCAGCACTCGAGAGGCCAAGGCAGGAGGATCATTGTGAGTTCGAGACCAGCCTGGGCTGCATAGTGAAACCCTGTCAAAAAGACCAAACAAATAACAATAATAATAATCTGTCCTATGGAATCAGGAGCTGGAAGCCAGCAGGATCCTCTGAGCCCCATCTGTGGCCATCCCAGCTCACAAGGCTCTTCATGTTATTTTTTATTTATTTATTTATTGGTGGAACCAGGGATTGAACTCAAGCCCTTGCACTTGCCAGGGAAGCATTTATACTACTGAGCCATCTCCCTGGCCCTCTTCACGTATTCTCCAAGCAAACAACAATAAGCCTCAATTCTAAAAACACTTTGTCTCTGCTCTTCGTGTAAAAAATCTGTATTGAAACTCAGAAATGAGCACTTTGTACTTTATTCTCTTTGGGCTCCTAGTAATCACTTTCATGCTCTTGCCCGGGGGTGTCCGATGAATGGTGGGCCAGGAATGGGGTGCTGGCACTCAGTAGCCTCTTTGGGTCTTTCAGGAAGTCAGCTATGGGTAAGGCAGGCACCAACTTAAAAACCAAAGAGATACTCATATATATTAGACATCTAATGTTTCCTCCCAACTGTTTTTATTTATTTTTAATTTTTTATGTATCTAGTACAGGGTCTACAGGGTCTCACTACACAGATCGGACTTGTAGTGATCCTTCCTGTTTTTCAGCCTCCTAAGCGCTGGGATTACAGACACTCGCCACCACGCCCAGTCTGAATCACCATCTCAGCGTGCCCTGAGGCCAGGACTAGCACAGCACACCGGAGATGGAACCCCAGTCCCTGTGTCTGCCTAAGCAGGTGCTTTAGTCCACTGAGCTATCTGGCCAGCCCCCAACTGTTTTTAATTAAATCAGCTACAAAATAGCAACATGCACTTCAGGTTAAGGTTTACAGGATGTTATCCTTGTGGAAAATAGAAAATATACTTCAAATGTGTATGTGACAGGCAACATCTAATGAGACACAACCATTTGCTTCAGACTTCAGTGAGATTTCTATTAATAACAATCTGAAAGAATTTCTCTGATGACTTAAATGTCACATTAGCATTTTATGAAATTTTGAGAAAAAAGCATAGACCAGTTTGCCAAAATGCATCACCTGCCCACCAGCCCTTAGCCTTCCTGTCCACTTGGCTGCACGTTATGGTTTATGTCTAGGTGTCCCCACAAAGCCTCATGCAATCATGGGGCGGCTTCTAGAATTCGTGATTAATTCATGATCCAATGCTGGGATTATGAGTGTGAGTGCTACACCCAGGCTGGGGCAGATAATGTGCGTACAAATGCAAGGTGGGGAAAGAGGCTTTCGAGGTGCTCGAAAGCCTGCTCAGTCTGAGCTGCAACCTCCACTAACTTGGCTAAACAAACCTTTCCTTCCTTCACTTTGGGTGTTGGGTATTTTGTCCCAGCAATGAGATACAAGCAACAGAGACACTGCGTGAGGGTGACAGCCATGGAACCTGGAGTGGAGCCCCCTTGGTGGAGACCTAGGAGGATAGTGTTACCGTATCTCTTTCTCCCGAGGCTCTTGTCCACTGTCCACTCAGACACAGACCTCCTGTTGCCCAGAAAGACACCATTGAAGAAGCACTGCTTTCCGACGTGGTAAGTGTGGATACTGCTGCTGAACCTTGGGTAAAACGTCCACTCAGGTCGCTGCCCATCTTCTGCAAGACATCAGAGATCCCCCCAGTGGCACCGAGCCCAGGGTCTGGGGCCAACAGAGAGCAAACCCAGAAGCACTCCCTGGACATCATCCAGCAATGCAGCCTTAGCAATGTGTGGGATTCCCTCAATCCACAAATGTGATTGAAGTATATAGTGCGTGTTCAAATCTTTTTATTTAAAACCTTATTATAGTAAAAGACATATTGCCACAAAAAAATTGTCCTCCTCCCTTACTTTTTGTTTTGTTTTAATTTAATGTGTGTGTGTGTGTGTGTGTGTGTGTGTGTGTGTGTGTGTTTGGGAAGGGTCTACAAGGGTGTTCAGGGTCTCACAACTAGATCAGACTCGTAGTGATCCGCCTGTTTACAGCCTCCCAAGAGCGGGGATTACAGGCATGCGCCACCACGCCCAGTCTCAATTACGAGCTCAGTGCGCCCCAGGGGTGGGGCCAGGGCCAGCATGGCGGGCCCAGGGATTGAACCCCCAGCTGAGTTATTTGGTCAGCCCTCTCTCCCTCCCTTACTTTGAACACACTTATCCCACTGTTCCTGCCACTTTCTGAAGCAGTTCTGGAGTCCTCTTCTGTGTCCTTGGTTGTCCTGGCTGCTTCCATGTTATGTATCTATTAAAAAGATTTGTATTTTGTGGTCATTTTAAGTTGGAGTAAGCTTCAGAAGTCCCATGGTCCCAGAGCTGGTAGCTAAGGTAGGTAAGAACACACTGTGATGGTTTTATGAGCCTACTTTTCCATTCGTGGCACTAGGCAGCCACATTCACCATATTTTTTATCACACCTCATAAAGACACTCATGAAAGAGGACTTCCAGAACTGCTTCCAAAAGTGGTCAGAATGATGGGATATGTGTTTTAGAAGTAAGAAGAAATATTTTGAGGGTAGTTCACAGCAATATATCTTTCTTTTTTGGACACAGGGTTTTGCTCTGCAGTTCAAGCTGCCCTTGGACTCCTTTTGTAGCCCAGGCTGGCCTTGAACTTACAGCAATCCTCCTGCCTCAGCCTCCCAAGTTCTCGAATTACAGGTACACATCCCCACAACCAGCTAGCAATGTCCTTTACTGTAATAAACTTTTAAAACTTGAAGCATTAAAAGTATATTTGGGCTCTACCTCATGCATGAGAAGCCAAGTCAACCACTGGGCACAAAAGGACAGGAAATGAGGACAGGGAAGCCACCTAACAGGTTTTATACACTCTCTCAAAAATAAAGCTTGACGCTTCTGTGTAGATCGGGAAGCACAGAGCCGGCCTCAAAAGCACTTCTGATCCTGCCTGTGTCACCCTTTGATCAACGTGTAGACAGAACAGAAAGCCTATCCAGCAGGGCCAGGCCAGGCCAAGGTGGCATCCCAGCTGGACGGGGCAAATGTTGACACGTGTATGTGCCACAGGGACACATACACGCACAATGCTGCCAAATGTCAAAGACCTCAAGCCGGCAACTGGCCCTCAGCACCTATGTTGCCATTCGATACTCATCTTGCAAAATTGCTGTGACTTTAAGCAGTAAAAGATTTCCACAGTCTTGGGGTTGCTTGAGCAACACCGGGGCGGGGGGCGGCCATGACAGAGCGCAGGCTTTGGAGGCCACTGGGGCTGGGTTCGAATCCCGTTGCTCTGCGTCTTGGAGGTGTGCAAGAAGTGTTCAGTCCCTGTGGCGACTGTTTCTGTGCCTCAGGTTCCTTCTCTGTGAAATGACAAGGCCTGCAGTAGCCACATCGACCTAAACACACTGACAGGGAAAGAGGGCATGGTCTGTTTACTGTTGGAGGAGAATGGTTTGTTTACTCTGACTTACTGACTTTCTCTCTCTCTCTCTGTGTGTGTGTGTGTGTGTGTGTGTGTGTGTGTGTGTGTGTGCATTTCATAACAATTGGAGAAAAGTGTCACTAGGAGTCTTCACTGTTGTGTGACTACCCAGGCATATGTTTGCACAAACCAGACGACACAGGTCATCGGGATAAAGAAGATCATTTGCCACACGTGACCTCTGAACATGAGGCAGGCGAGTTAGCTCCAGCAGAATGCAACAGACTGTCTGACAACAAAGCTTTCTGTAATGTGTAAGTGGACTGGCCAGGCGGGGTGGCGCATGCTTGCAACCGCATCACTCAGGAGGCTAAAACAGAAGGACCACAGCGGGTTTGAGGCCAGCCTGGGCTACAAAATGAGTTCAAGGCCAGAACTACATAGCAAAACCCTGTCTCAAAAACAAAACCAAAGTAAGTAGGAGAAATACACTCTAAAATAAAGGTTAAAAAGAAAAAGTACGCTACCGTATAGGGCACTGGGTATATAAGCCAGCAACTCAGTCGTGCGTCACCATGCAGTAGGACTGCACCTACTTCATGTGCTATCCTTCCCACACCTGGCAGCCAGCAGACTTGCCACAGCCTTACGGCAGCAATGATGTCACTGGGTGGCAGGAATTCTTCCTCTCTGTGCAGCCTAATGGCACCACCATCCATCTGCCACCCACTGTTGGCCAAAACATCATTACATAGCACATGACTAGGTATGTCTATGTGTGGGCACAAAGCCTGGAGAGGAAGCGAGTCGTGCGCTTGGCACAAGTGACCTCCATGCCAGTGGCCCACAGAAGCAGAGCAAAGACGTCAGAGCATCTGTGACCACTCACTTGTCTGCAGCCTGAGCAGGCTGAAGTCTTCAGGCTGCTGAGCCTTGTGGACCTCGGGCTCCAAGGCTTCCTGGGACTGATGGGAATGTGAGGAGGAGGAGGAGGAGGAGGAGGAGGAAGAGGGAGAGCAGGAGGAGGACTTCTGGCTTGGATCTGCAGCAGTGCTGGAGAGAAAGCAGAGGGAGAGTCTTCATGGGCTCCAGCAGGAAGCTCAGATCCGAGCTCGCACATCCCACACTCGAGTCTCACGTGTTCTCACACGTAGAGCTCTGCCGACGTCGCTACAGAAGCTTCCAAGCAAAGCCTTTATTTATTCACAATTCACAGGGGAAGTGAAGTGTATTCAAGAGATAGATACATGCTTTAAAATGTTTTAAGACAATTTAGTAGTTCTTCAAAAATTTAATAAAAATGTCTATATGCCTCAGAAGTTCTGCTAGGTATATATTCAAGAGAATTAAAAACAGAGACTCAGGCCAGCCAAATAGCTCAGTGGATTAAAGCACCTGCTTAAGCAGATGCAGCTGCAGAGAGTTCAATCCCCGGCCTGCCGTGCTGGCCCTGCCCCTGGAGAGCACTGAGATGGCAATTGAGACTGGACGTGGGGGAAACGCCCATAATCCCAGCACTTGAGAGGCTGTAAACAGGAGAATCAGTACTAGTCCTATAGTCCTATCTACATAGTGAGACCCTGTAGACCCTGTACTAAATAAAAAAAAAAAGGGGGGGCTGGCAAGATAGCCCAGTGGACTAAGTGCCTGTTTAGAAGGGAACAGGGTTTGATCCCCGGCACCACAGCTGGCCCTGTCCCATCAGGCATGCTGAGCCAACGTGGAGACCAGGAGTGATGGCACATGCCTATAATCCCAGTGCTGAGGAGGCTGAAAACAGGAGAATCACTACGAGTCTGAGCTGCATAGTGAGATCCTGTACCAAATACATTAAAAAAAAAAAAGAGAGAGACTCAAATATTTATACATAAATGCTTATTGTGGACTATTGACCATAGTCAAAAAGCAGAAACAACCCAAGTATCCATTCATAGGTGATCAGACACACAGAATTTGGTATACAAATACAGTGGCATATCACGCAGCTGTTAAGAAGTTCTGTTTTATGCTACAACATGGATGAACCTTGCCAACATTAGGCTAGCCAACAGAAGTCACATACAGACAAATAAATGTTATATGATCCCACTCATGTGAAGACTAAAGTGATTTAGAGGCTTCAGGGGCTGAAGAGAGGGGAGAGTGGTGCATTATTTCTTGAGAGGTATAGAGTTTGTGTTTGGGATAATCAAAATGTTTTGAAAATAGATAGTGGTGAGGGTTGCACAACATTACAAGTATAACTAAACATGGATAGAAGGTGTATGTTATCATGGTGTAAAAAAAGAAGACTATACCAATCTGCTACAACACAAATGACCTTGACGATCTTATGCTACGTGAAAGAAGCCAAATCCCAAGGGCCACAGGCTGATGACTTCACTACAAGAAATGTCCGGAACAGGCAGCTCCAGGCAGATGGAATGCAGATCTTAGGTTCTCTAGGGTGGGGAGAGAAGGGAGTAGAGGGACTCTTGCCACAGGGGACAAGTTGCCTTAGGGGATAATGGAAATATCTTCAAATCAATGACAGTGATGGTTGGGACAGTTCTGTGAATCCATGAGCACCCCTGAGTTGCAGGCTTGAAAAGAGGGTGCTGTGGAGTGCGAAGATTGATTTCAGTTGTCAGCTTGGCTGGGTGAAGGACACACCAGAGAGCTGGGAGCATGTGATTTCTGGGTGTCTGTGATTGTGCCTCCAGAGAGGGTGAGTAGAGGCAGACAGAACCGCCCTGAGGGTAAGTGGGTCTCATGCGAGTGCTGGGGGCCCAAAGAAAACCAAACAGACAGAGACGGGCGATCTCAAGGCTCTCCCTCCCTCTTCCTGGACCAGGAACTCTTCTCCAGCCTGACCTTGATGTCAGTGCTCCAGGCCCTCCGGCCTTTGCACCCCAGGCCCTGCCTGCTGTGGCCTCCTCCCAGGCTCTCAGGTCTTCAGCTTCAGCCTGACAGTTACTGCCTCAGCCTCTGGCTCTGAGACCTTGGAGCTCAGATTGAGCCTCCTTGTTTCAGGAGCTTCCAGAATGAGGTCAGTGAGAGCCTCTGACACAGCTGATGCATGTCTGGGTCTGTACCTATAGGGATCCATGCCTACACCTATGTCAATAAAGAGATGATAGATAGACAGACAGACAGACAAGAATTCTATTGGTCCTATCCCTCTGGAGAACCCTAATTAATACACACGCTATGTGAATTATAATTCACACACTGTTACCCAAAAAATGGCACTTGTTCAATAAGATCATTAAATGCAAATTAAAAATCAGACGTATATAGAGAAGGGGAAGAAATAACCAAAGGCAAACCTCAGCCAAGATTGTCATAATAACAAAGCATTATGTTTAGCGCCAAACCTCCCCCAACTGAATTCACCCAAAATTTAGTTGAATGTAATAGCATGTGCCTGTAATCCCAGCTACTAGGAGAATGAGGCTGGAGGAACTCTGTTTCCAGGCCGGCCTAGGCTACACAGGGACTTTGACTATGTTGGGATGGCTCTAGCAGGCTCACCCAGGAGAGAAAAGCTTGGAGCAAAGACCACCCGTGTGGCTTTGTGGTTCTTCCCTACCAAGAATCCTGACAGTACAATGAACCTGATGAATGCGGAGGGAAGAAGGGGGTTCCCTGGGAAGAAGGATGTTTTTCAAAGGTGGTTATCCATCCTCACCAGCAAAATGTAAGCTGGAGCCGCCATGTTCCCACCGGAACGTATACCCCTCGGGCACAGTGTGCCTGTCCGTCCAGGAGGAGGACAATTCCTGGAGGCCAGCCCTCATGATCAAACAGGTCTTATCAGGAATTCAGGACTTCTAAATGGACCAAGTAGCCAAGACCCAGCTCAAGCAGAGGCCTAGACAATCTGCTGCCAAAACGGAGTGGAATCTGAGAAGAGTTGGAGCCCAAGGCAGGAAGCGTGCACTCTCATGAGCAGCAGCCCTGCGGCTCTGCACAAAGGAAGAGATTGGTTTGGCAAGAACTCGTTTACACTTTGCACCGGCCAATTGAGAGTCCCTGGCCGGTCCTGTGCACTAGGAGGAAGGCAGCTTCCTACAGCACAGAGCTGTCCATAGCCTCCGGCCAGCTGTAGAAGAAAATCACTTACCCCTCCCACCCCATTGGCTCCTCAGAACCTGGGCTGTGATACTCGTGAGCCTCAAATCCAAAGTCAGCTAGTTAGGGGGCTGGGGAGATGGCTCAGCAGAATAAGCGCTTGCCTGACAAGCTCAAGGGCCTGAGTTCAGTCCCTGGTGGGTTTACATGGTGTTTTGTCTATGTTACTGTTGAAAGTAAATAAACTTTATAAAACTGACAATAATAATAAATAGGGCCGGCCAAATAGCTCAGCAGATTACAGCTCCTGCAAGCAGGCACAGGGGCCCTTGAGGTTTGATCCGAGGGCCTGCCGGCCTGTACCAGCCCCACCCCCAGGGGCGCGCTGAGATGGCAATTGAGACTGGGCATGGTGGTGCGTGCCTGTAATCCCCGCTCTTGGAAGGCTGTAAACAGGCGGATCACTACAAGTCTGATCTAGCAGTGAGACCATGAACACCCTATAGACCCTTCCCTAAAAATACAAAAAGTAAATACATAAGTTAATTAATTAATTAAAAAGTAAAAAAATAAACCATGTACCTAAAGGTTAAAAAAGAATAGTATACATTCTTTTTTTTTTTTTTTTTTTTTTTTTTTGGTGGAACCGGGGATTGAACTCAGGTCCTTGCACTTGCCAGGGAAGGGCTTATTCCACTGAGCCATCTCCCCGGCCCCTTATAGTATACATTCTTAACTGTGTAAAATAAATATATTTAGAAACAGAAAATAATTTTCTTACATATTAAAAACTATAGACTCAGCTTCCCTGCCCATCCCCCTCTGGACTCCACACCACCCACTTTGCTCCCCGAGCTTGCAGAGCTCTGGCCAGCAGTGCACAGTGACGCTTGCTTGACACTGACTCTTATGGGGTCGTCTGCAACAGGGGGGACCCGCACACGGCTCATCTTCTCCAACCGGGCCTGGCCACTGCATATCACCTCCCCCTACCTTACATCATGGCTGCCACAGTGCTCCATGTGCACCTGTGGGTTCAGACCAAGATCCACTGAAGGCAGCCCCGCCCTACAGAGGTCACCCTAGGTCAGCCCTGCCCTACAGAGGCGTCACCTGAGGCTCACCACCACAAAGGACACAAAGCATGAGGGACAGAAGAGGGACCCTTAGCACATGCATGGCCGAAGCAAAGGGCAAGGGAGAAGAGGACTGGGACAGACTGTCACACAGCTCAAGAGGAACATGCAGAAGGGGAGCCCCAGCCACAAAGATTCCGCTTCCGGCTGAACACCCCTGGCCTGCAGTTGAGGGAGATGGAAACGCACAAAGCAAGTTGCTGCTCTTGGAATGGAAAGATGTGTGAGTGAGGCTGTCCTCCTGCTTCCCATGGCAACAGGGTGATTATTCATTTGAAGAGATTTATGGGAAGAAATAGAGCAGCACAAGTCTGTCCCTAGCTGTGTGTGTGTTCCTTGGGGAGATGCCCCGCCATGCTGTCCCATTGTATCACTGAAGCTCTGCAGAGGGACTGGCCCTGCAGGAAGAGGCCCCAGAGCCACCGGCAGCCACAGAGGACAGTGCTCCAGCAGAGAACCCTCAGTGTCAGCGTGACCAGGGCACTCACTACTGTGGGAAGTGGGAGTTTTCAAAGGTGACCTGCTATGGGGCCTGGTCCTAGCTCACTTCTTCTTTAAGTGGCTGCTTCCACAAAGCTGTCAGCCTCAGGTTGCTGTAGTTCGATCCCCACAACACCAGCCAGCCAAACCTGCTCTGAAGGCATTCTGAGCAAAAAAAAAAAAAAAAAAATTCCTTATTCCATTCCAAAGGTGACCTGCTAAGGGCTTCCCCTAGGGGCCAGGCTCTGAGTTGGAGCTGTGCTGCCTGCACTCCCTGCTGCCTGAGACGCTGCATGCCCATCCTCCAGGTCTTCTGGAGGATGAGACAAGGCATGACCACCTCGGCCAGCTAAAGCCTGTGCTTTCAGAGCAGAAAACAGGATACAGGAATAGGGTTTCAAGTACAAATTGCACCTCCAGTGATCTGCAGATAACCTGCGGGTTATTGGCTGTATGGCAAATCCCGTAGGCCCTAGTTAAGGTACAGATGAACAACAAAAATAGTAACTTAATATTAAAAGTTGTAAAAAAAAAGGGCCGGGGAGATAGCTCAGTAGAATAAGTGCTTCCCTGGCAAGCACAAGGGCCTGAGTTCAATCCCCGGTTCTGCAAAAAATAAAATAAAATAAAATAAAAGTTGTCTTAGAATGATTTTTATGCATTAAGTCAGGATGCAAACAAACAGTGCAGCCAGTCAGTTCCCTCTCTGGTTTGTACAGCTAGACAAACTTCGTAAAAGTACAAGTCTAGTACAAACTCACTAAAAGCTAGGAAATGCAGAAAAATCTTGGAACATGTTTGAAATTGTGCTTGAAGACAACAAAGAATTGGTAAACCCTTTCAAAGGTTTTTTTTTTTAATTTTTAAAAGTTTTTTTTTTAAGCTGTAATTTTTTTATGTATTTGACACAGGGCCTCACTACCCAGCTCAGACTCAAAGTGATCTTCTTATCTCAGCCTCTCCAGTGCTAGGATTACAAGTGTGTGCCACCACACGCAGTTTTGGTGGCCAGCATGGAGCGCCCAGGGTTCCAGGGCCAGCACAGCATGAGGAACTGGGAATCAAATCTGGGTCCTTGGGGGCCTGCCCTTAGCTCAGCTGTTTAAGCGCCTGCTCGTGCAAGCGCAGTCAGGCGCAGGATACTGCAGTTCTATCCCCAGCTCCACCTGCCTTACCAGACCGGCCCTTCAGGCAGCCTGAGCCACAAAAAACAAAAACAAAAACAAAAACAAACAAACAAACCTAGGTCCTTACACTTGCCAGGCAGGCGCTTAGACTGTTGAGCTATCTTCCCAGCCCCAGAAGATTAAACTGATATATCCAGAAAAGTATCAGTGGAGAACATGGCTTATTACACAGTTCTTTGTCTCCTAAACCTAATCTAAAGGGCTACTGTCCAGTCTGTCTCTTTAGCTGTCCTGTCACCAAATGAAAGTACTTTTATGAAGCTTTGCTGAGTTCATGGTGAGCTGTCGCTATTCATATGTTTTGTAGAATAACTTTAATCTACAGCAAAATTTTATTTCTCACACTCCGTTCTATTTGAAATTCAATTTTTTAAAAATTCTATTTCAATGGAGGCCCTATGGTGAAAATTGCAATATTAAATTTATTATTTTTTAATACATTTGGTTGTTACAGTGTCTCAGTAGCAGCTTGGATTCATAGTGATCCTTCTGTTCTCAGCCTCCCCAGCACTGGGATTACAGGCCTGTGCCACCAGGCCCAGACACTGGCTGGCTCCACCTGCTCTGGGGGTGGGGCTGGCACAGCATGTGAGGCAGCAGACTGGATCTCGGTCCATGTGTTTGCCTAAGCTTGCCTAAGCTTGCCTAAGCAGGTGCTTTAGCCCATTGAGCTATCTTGCTGGTCCCTGCATATTAAATTTTTTTTTTTTTTTTCCCGGAACTGGGGATTGAACTCAGGCCCTTGTGCTTGCCTGGGAAGCACTTATTCCACTGAGCCATCTCCCCGGCCCCCTGGAATATTAAATTTAGGTGACTTTTTTCTTTCTTCTTTTTGGCAGATCCAAGGATTGAACTAGGGCCCTTGCACTTGCCTGGCAAGCGCTTATTCTACTGAGCTATCTCCCCTGCCCTGCAATATTAAATTTAGAATTATCTTCTCAAACTAGGGTTCCTAGCAGTATTACCGTAAGTAAAAAGAAGTTTAGGCACAGGTGGTGCCACATGTCTGTAATCCCAGCACTTTGGAGGCTGAGGCAGAAGGTTTGCTGAGTTCAAAGTCAGCCTGGGCTACATAGTGAGTCCAGGCCAGCCTGAAATATATAGCTCATAGAAAACACACCCGTGCTCTGCACCAGACTCCAACACTCTCGTCTCAGTAGAATCACAAGTGTTTTCTTTGTCTTTGTTTGAGACAGGGTCTCGCTGTGTAGCTCAGAGTAGCCTTAAACTCGCTATGTAGCCCAAGTCCCTGTCTCAAAAAAAAAAGAAAAAGAAAAAGAGCTTGACTCTGCTGTAGCTCAGATATAGAGAGGCAAGTCAAGTATTTTCCCTTACAAAAATTCCCAAGTCCAAAGAGTTGAGGTCTCTTTTACAGTAAGATTTTTCTTCTTTTTGTTGTTGTTTGGTTTTTGGCTTTGGAGACAGAGTCAGGCTGGCCTTGAACTTGCTCTGTAGCCGAGGTGCCCTAAATCACAGTGATCCCCACTGCCTCAGGCTCCCAAGTGCTAGCATCACACAGCACTCGACCACACCTGGCTGCACTAAGACTTGTCTGAAGTAATTTGTTTAACTTTAATAGAGGTAATTTAAGAGCATAAGTTTTTACGGACTTCCAAAGTAAAACCTAAAATCGTTATTTTGGGAATGACAACACACGTCGATTTGTACTGTGAGCTAAACTACTATGTCAGTTGCTATTTTGGGGGAAATGGAGAATAAAATCTGTTCTTTAGCATAATATATGTCTTATTTTAATGTACATAAAAATAAATAAAATTTTTAAATCTAATATTAGGACTAGAGGTGTAGTTCAGGGTTAGAGGACCCAGTAAGCATGGGGGCCTGGCTGGGCTTAATCTCCTCTACCACAAACAACATCAAAATGTTACCAAATCTTCTCTAAAATGTGAGATTACTGTCACTTTGCTTTTTAACAGTTTGTTTGTTTGTTTGTTTGTTTGTTTTGGTAATTTTAAATTTTCTACAATAAACTCACTTTTATTATAAATATTTAGAAAATTTTTTCAAAATTTTTCTGTTGTTGTTGAGCAGTGCAGGGCTTGTCTTGATCTATATAGTCTTAAACTCACGGCAATTCTCCTACCTCAGCCTCCCAAGTGTTGGGATTACAGGTATTCATCACCTTACCCAGCTTCAAAACTCTTTACTGGTAAGGAAATGCAAACAAAGTGGCAGAGCTTGGATGTGAACCCAGGTTTCAGACTCCAGATTCCATGCCTAGCTGACCAGGCTGTGCTACTTCCTGGGTGAGCAGCCTCACAGTCACAGCTTACATCAGCAGCAATGGAAACTCATGAGCCCTCACTTACGCCAGCTGAGCACATGCTCCGAGCAGGCCTGGAGGCTGGCTGACTGTCCGGCTTGTCCTTGCAGAAGGTGAGCGGCTGACTCCACTGCTGGGGTATGTCACATTCACAAAACATCCCTTGGATTCTGGGAGATCATTGCAGGTACCATCTGTAACACATCAACATCACCGCTTGGTCACATTTTTCAGGTACTTGCCACTCTCCCCTGATCCTTAGATTATAAGACAAATATCCCACAACATGGGGCATTTGCTGTGTGTTGGGGGTGACACTAATCTGGTGCACACCATATTCCATTTCATCTTCCAAGGACTATAGACACAGGAGTTAGTCACCTCCCCATTGGAAGAGGAGGAAACGGGCTGAGGTTATTGCAATTTGCTTGTGATGTGTAGAAAATAAACACTTAGGGCCAGGTTTGCTCACCTTTCTTGTGATCCCAAAGCCTAGAATTCTAAATACTTGGCACACTGTTTGGCCCTCCATTGCTCAGCCCCTTCCACTCAGTGGAAGAGAAAAGACCTGAGCCCTGCTGTCGGCTGCTGTGGCTGCACTGGACACCTCAGGAGAACTTCCCAAGTTGTGCGGCCTGGGAAGGACAGTGACTATAGCTGGTGGCAGTGAGCAAAACACTGCCCTGCAGAAATGTCTGGGGCTCTTCCTGTCACAGACTCAGAGACTACACACCTGTCCTTCCCACAGACTCCAACACACTCATGTCAGTAGCATCGAAAGTGTTTTCTTTGTTTTTGTTTGAGACAGGGTCTCACTGTATAGCTCACAGTAGCCTTGAACTCGCTGTGTAGCCCAAGCTGGCCATGAACTCACAACGATCCTCCTCCCGCCTCAGCTTCCAAGTGCTGGAATTACAGGTATGCACCACCACCCGGGGCTCACATCAGAAGTATTGCCTGGTGCTGAGTACTGATCTTAACAAATGTTTGAGTGAATAAAAAAAGAACTCCTTGATCACCCTGAATCACAAGAGAATCCTGAAGCCCAGTGAGTATCAGTCAGAGAGGAGTAGCCATTATTTTTATTTTTCTGTCTGATTTATAAAAGTCAAGCTGTTCTCTGTTCATTTAATATGGGTGTGCGCTTTGTCCAATGTTGTATGCAAAGAAAGAAGATGACTAGACACTGCCTTCCTTTATGAACAATTTTGTACACACAGAAGCTCACAGACTCGGTGTAAGCTCCGGTTATAAGGAAATCACAATCTCTAAACTAAGCCATGCCACCCCCAAAGGCTCCGCGTCACACGCAGATGGTATCAGCTGCGTACCCTCTGCAGATTCCCACCACCCAGCAGCAGAGCGCTGTGACCAAGGCCATTTATATTCATTTCCCTTCAAACTCATATTGCAAGTGAATCACACGCACACTTGTCAAGTCCCCACCACCACCAGACTCTTTACATTGACAAAGACTTCCTCTGTGAATCCAACAAACTTTAAAAACCAACTAAGCTACTTCCTACCTTCAAAATCCCCCCATTCTGCCACTTCTCAGATTGTGGTATAAGGACTCTCTCAAGCCTGCTAAAGATACTGAGTTCCAAATCCCATCACCGCCCTACTGATTTAGAAGCTTGCTAAGAGAGTCCTGGGAGCCTGCCTTTCCAGTAAGCTCCCACCCAGTCACTCTTGGGCTCAACTTTGGCCATGAGGCCCCTCTGCTACAGGCCACTTCCTTCACAACACCAAATTCCCAGCTCACTGCCCAGCATTTTCTTCAGATTTTCCAGGTCATGAAAATCACATGCAGGTTCCAGAGCTCTGACCAAGACCTACAGGAGATACTCCAGAGTGCAGTATGTTTAAGATGCACCTCAGGGAGAAAGTTCTGGAATGTTCTGGAACACTCCCCGGACCCAGGGTAGGGCCAGGAACTGTAAGGCCCAGTGCTTGCTCAAGGTGTGAGTTCCTGGGTCAAAGCCAAGCCCAGAAGAGAAACAGGAAAAGAATAGAGCCGACAAAAAAAGGAAACCAACCCCAGCAGCCCTACTTACCAAACCATAGAAGAAACATCAATAAATAAAATACAAATCGTGCTCTCTCGTCACAATGCAATACAATTATAAATCAATAATAAAAAGACAGCCAAGAGCATCCATAAGCTTTAGAAACTCAAACCGCACCGCTAAATAATTCATATAAAAGAAGAAATTGTAATGGAAATCGTGAGGTGCTTAATGATCAATGGACAGAAGCAATATATATCAGAACGCATAGGGTTCAACACAAGCAGTAATTAGAACACTGGAATCCCAAACATATACGCTGTATTTCACAGACTATAAGAAAAATTGATTTTAATATTATTATCTTAGCTAACCACAAGGAATACAAGTTGCAAGTTTAATGCTTTATCAATTAGAATTTTATATACTAATTAAAGTATTCTTTTAGCCAGGGATATAGCTCAGTAGCATAAAGCGCCTGCCTGGCAAGTGCAAGGTCCTGAGTTCAATCCCTGGTACCATGAAGTATTCTTTTAGACTTAGCAGTTTTAATCACACATGATTTATGTTTAAAAAAAATAAAAGCAAAGTAAATTGTTTACATTCAACAGTCTGACAACTGCTGTCTACCCTTTTTCTACCTCCTGTTGACCTCAGGGAAATGTGACATAGTGACACAGAGCCTTTTAACAGAGTGGCCCTCAAGGGCCTCTGAGATGTGCTATGCAGCCACAGAGGGGCTCTTCAGGCTTCGTGCTCATGAAGCAAAGATCGTGACCACTGCTTCACACCTGCCGCTTGGCCACACACGAGTGAGACCAATTGCAACCGCAGAGAGGCCCGCGGGTTCAAATGTCCATCTTAGGACATCATCAGAGCATCATAGCTTTTGATATCAAAGGTTCTAAAACTAATGAACTGGGGGCCTGCCCCTTAGCTCAGTTCTTCAAGTGGCTGCTTCAACAAAGCAGTCAGGCTCAGGTTGCTGTGGTTCGATCCCCACAACACAAGACAGCCAGTCATGCCTTGAAGGCATTCAGAGCAAAAAAAAAAAAAAAATCATTTCGGGGCTGGGAAGATGGCTTAGCAGACTATGCGCTTCCCTGGCAAGCACAAGGGCCTGAGTTCAATCCCCAGTTCCACCAAAAAAAAAAAAAAAAAAAAAAAACTAATGAACTAAGCTCTCAATGGAAGAAATAAGAGAATAGAGCAACTCCCCAAAATAAGGAAGGGAATCACAAAATGAATACATAAATGAATAGATAATATTATCAGAATCATAGTTTCATTAAAGAACTAATAATGTAAATAAGTTAACTAAGAAAAAATTTAAAGCATTATATTACAAACATAAGAGCTGGGAAGTAAGGACCCAGGTTCAATCCCTTGTGCATGCCGTGCTGGCCCCAGAACCCTGGGGGCACCATGCTGACCACTGAAACTGAGCGTGGTGGTGTACAACTATAATCCCAGCTCTGGGGAGGCTGAGACAGGAGGATCACTATGAGTCCAAGTTGTATAGTGAGACCCTGTACCAAATAAATAAATAAATAAATGATTATATATATATATTAGAAATAACTGTACAGGGCTAGCGAGATGGTTCAGTAGAAAAAGTGCTTGCCTGGGAAGCACAAGGGCTTGAGTTCAATCCCCAGTTCTGCAAAAAAACAAAAAACAAACAAACAAAAAAAAAAACTGTACAGAGGGATAAACTGAGTTCCAGAAATGTAAGATAATTCATGCAGAGTCACATAGGGTATGATTTATAAAATGCAGCTTACTGCTGTAGTATTTGTGGAACCCAAGATACTGGCTGCCACTTCTCTGGGCAGGTAGAGCACTTTTCATAAGTACATCTGTCATCTCATCGACTTCTCAATAGTCTATCTGGAGGGAAGAAAATAAACCATCCAGCCATGACACATCTGGTTTCCATCCGTCCAATCCACTCAGCAGATCCCGCTGAGGCTCTAGGACAGCTCCCACACACGGACACATGAGCGCATACGTGCACGCACACATGCATGTATCTTTCACTGATTTTTTTTTTCTTTTTTTGAGACAGGGTCTCACTATGTAATTCAGGCCGCCCTTGAACCTACTAGGTACCTATCCAAGGCTGGCCTGGAACTTGGAGCTGTCCTACTGCTTCAGCCTCCCGAGTCCTGGGACTTCACAGCACACCACACCCGGCTCTCTTCAGTTGATTTATGGGAGGCTTCTTTCCCTCTCCTCATACCTTCGATGCACAGCTGAATTCAGACATGATCTTCCAGAATAGTCCCAGCTTCAGAGAAGGAAAGAAAACTGCAGGCCTGGTGATCCCAGTGATCCTGTGCCCTTCTGGTACCCTTAGCACAGAAGGGCAGAGCCTCCCTAGCTCACCCTGAAAACAGCAGCCCTCCTTTGCCCCCAACTAGACTGGAAACTGCAGGGAGTTCAGGAGCTCAAGGTTAGAATCCCAGAGTCCTTTTCTTCTTCCTGCTTGGGCCACATTGGGGAATTAAAGGTGCTATAGCCTACAATTGTTCTGGGCCCAGCTCACAGGTTGGTGTGGGAGTTGTACCTCCCTGCTCTCTCTGCATTGAGGAGAACCAGAGGATCACAGATCTGGGATCTAGGAGAGCAGGGACCAGGCTAAGATCCAATAGGCCCAAGATGGGACATTCTCCAACCCCTTTTGCTGTTCATCTGTACCAGGTATGTGACATCCTGACCACACCCTCAGCCTGAGATTTTCTGGAAGACTGTGACCACCCTGCCCCATCGTGCTGGACTCTATAGGCAAATGTGCCCCACACATCCTCCTCAACCTAAAGAACCAGTGCTGGAGCAGCCAGCCATGGTTCAACATAGCCTTTCCTCAGGGTGTTCCTCCTCTCTACCAGCTCTGTCCCAACTACCATGCAGTGCCACAAATCTACAAAGATCTGAGCAAAGGGGAAAATGGAAGGGCATGGGCTCTGGAGACCAGGAGCCTCAGGTCAAATCCCAGCCTAGCCATCTATTAACCAAAGCACCGAGTGGGTCGAATCCCCGGCTCCCTCACCTATGATCTCCAGGCTATTAGGAGACACAGTGAGGGAATTCATGGGGATCTCTGCTTTGGCGGTGCTCTCTGCCTGATCAAATTTCAGATTCATACAGATAGAAGCTCCCGGTCAAGCTCTTCTTGCTATGTGCCTCAAATTAGCTGTACACTTGGAATATGGGGTACCCCCAGCATCCCATGTGTTAAGTGGTTTGGGTTTTTTTGTTTGTTTGTTTGTTTGTTTGTTTGTTTGTTTTGCGGAACTGGGGATTGAACTCAGACCCTTGTGCTTGCCAGTGAAGCACTTATTCTACTGAGCCATCTCCCCCAGCCCCTGTGTTGTGTTTGTCCCCCATCTGTATCACTACTAGAAGGTGGCAGGACCTCTAAACAGGTGGGGCTTGGTGGGGGCCCCTCTAGCTGTGAGGGCAGGGGTTTTGCTCTGCTGTCTGCTCCACGCTGATGCTTGCCCCAAGCCCAAAGACCTAAACCTCTAACACTGCGAGCCAAAGGAAACCTTTCTCTTCATAAGTCAGTTATTTCAGCAGCTGTTATAATTGCTGGAAGATGACTAACAAGCCAGCCTTCAAACAGAGCCTCCCGGGGGCCGGGGATGTGGCTCGGTGGCGCAGCGCCTGCCTAGCAAGCGCGAGGCCCCGAGTTCGGTTCCCGGTACCAAAACAGAAAATAGTGAAAATAAGACCAAAAAAAAAAAGTCCTTAAGGGGCTGGGGAGATAGCTCAGTAGAATAAGTGTCTCCCTGGCAAGCCCAGGGTCCTGAGTTCAATATCTGGTACCGCAAAAAAAAAAAAAAAACCAAACAGAGCCTCCCGGATCGAGTGTACTTGGATAGATTGTGGGATCCATCCCCAGCCCTCCTGATTCCGTAGAACTCAACTGTATCTCCTCTCGGCCTCAGTCACACTGGAGTCACCTTCCTCTCGACTCCTCTCCAGCGCTCTGCCACAGGCTGCTCTTGAGATGGGAGGAAGCCAGGAACCCTGAGGAGCATTTCCAGAGTCCATGAACTCATCTCTGCACCGGTTTGATTTTAAACATTAAAAGAAACCCAGACTAAGAAAAGACCTTTGTAAGAAAGGAGACAGACAGGAGGATCATAAGTGTGAGCCCAGGCTGAGCAACTCAGGGAGGCCTTCTTTCAGATAAAAAAAAAAAATACTAAAGGGATGGGGGTGTAGCTTGGTATGAAGGCCCTGGGTTTAATAGGAAGGAAGGGAGAGAAGAGAAAGAAAAGTCGTTAGTCACAATAAACGTACTCCACAAGCCATCGAAGTTGAGATGGCCGGACTAGCTCTAAGTCATAGATATACTCCTCGAAGCAGACAGTTCTGGAGCTGGAAGCCCCTGATCTCTGCAAGTAGAGGCCTCCAGGGAAGCCGGGACCTCCCTCCGAGGCCTCACGGAGGAAGCAGCCAGATCAGCCCACCAACTGCAACTGAACTGCCGCCAGAGACTGGCGGAGGAGCCCACGGAGGAGCCCACGGCTAAGGGGTTTGGGCGCCCGCAGGTCCACCGCAGGTTGCCGGAAACACCGCATTGCCAGGACAACGCGTTGCCTGGATACCGCGTTGCCAGGATACCCTGAGACTCCCGCGCTCCTCCTTCACTCCTTCCCCCAGCTCACCGGCCTCAGAAAGGAAAGGGCCGAGAGTTTTAAGCAAAACCCCCACAAAGTCCGCTTAGTGGTGTTTTGTTGTTCTTTTGTTCTGTTTTGTTTTTAGGGCTCGAGGTTTTGGGCCATTTTTTTTATTAGTTCTAATAAGTTTTGTACCGCTGGGGCAGTGAAAGATGAGCCCTTTTTCACTGGTCTGTTTCTTCCTTCCACAGCCAGCTGCAGTTTTCAAAATAGAAAACCGGCTTTGAGCAGGGCTTGCTCAAGGTCACGAAAAAAAAAAAAAATCCTGAGATTCCTTTCGAAGATTTCTCCTTCTAAATCTACCCCCTCTTTGCAGCTTATCCATTGAAATTCATTTTCCTAATCCTTCCCAGTACCTAATAAATCTTGGGTAGGAAGCTTTTTTTTTCCAAGCCAAGCTTAGTTCCTACATTTATATTTAGACCTAGTTTGTCCCTTGAGGAGGTGGGAAAAATTAGATTGTGGCTTTGGTTTTGATGATTTTTTATTGATTATAAAAGAAATACGATAAAAAAAAAGAAATACGTGGTCATTGTGGAAATCTTTTAAAATATGAAAATACTGTTAAAAACTCATAATCTCACAATCCAGAGATTAACCACTTCTTGTGGATAGCTATTGCTGAATAACAACAAGTCACCTTCCAAATTCTGTTGCTTTAACAACAATGATCACTATGATTTCTGGATTCTGGGGTTACTTGCAGAGAAGGCCACTCACACTTGGGGTCTCCGTGTGGCAGATAAAGTGGCTCGGCCTTCCTGGTTTCCAAGGCTGGTGACCGATGTTGGCTGCCTGCTGGGATCTCCACTGGGGCTTTCCCACATCTTATAATACGGTTTTTCCACATGTTTCCTCCTGGCACGTGTCTGTGTTCCTGATGTAAGGACCCTAGAGACTTCAGGCGGAGCTGTATCGCCCCCGCAGACCCAGGGAGAAGAGAAGCCCACCTCTCGCTGGCAGAACCAAGGTCACAGGTATGAATTGCCTAGGAACCGGGAGATCTCATGGCCACACCGTGATCTGCCACGCTGCTGCTTCTGTTTAATATATTTCTTTTTTTTTTCTTTCCTTTTCTTTTGGCAGAACCAGGGATTGAACTCAGACCCTTGCACTTGCCAGGCACGTGCTTATTCCACTGAGCCACCTTCCCGGCCCTGCTGCTTCTGTTTAATGGCTGCTTCCTCTTCGTACTTTTTCAATGCACGTGTATGTTAGCATAGAATCGTGCTATGGCGTGCAATTTTTAGATTGGGCTTCCTATAAGTCTCACATTTTGCCCTGGGCATTTCTGTTTATTAAAATTCTCTCTCTGTGTCTCTCTGTCTCTCTGTCTCTGTCTCTGTCTCTCTGTCTCTGTCTCTCTGTCTCTCTGTCTCTCTGTCTCTCTCTATATATCTCTTTCTGTCTCTCTCTGTCTCTCTCTCTCTCTCTCTCTCTCTCTCTCTCTCTCTCTCTCTCTCTCTCTCTCTCTCCAGAAAACCAGAAAAGGCACCAGCTTTTCAACAGAAAGGCCGCATCCCTTTAGTGACCTCACCCAAGCGGCTGTAGTGACAGGAAGACAGAGATATCCATTTTTGTTCACTGCTGTTTTGTTCCCTGCTACATGCCAAGCACCTACACAGTGCTGGCATGTGTAGACACCCAGTCACCGTTGGATTAGTGGGTGGATAGAAGGGTGGGCAGATGGATAAAATGGTCCGAGCCGAGCCCCTCCCTCCCCCTCACGGCACCACCAGGCTCCAAGGTATCCAGGCCTCTCTGTCAGGTCTGTGACTGTGAGGCAGGCTGTCAAATCCCAGAAGGGAAGTGCCCCTCCTTGTACCATTATAAACCTTCTGCCACTCTGCCACTTGAGGGGCCTCCTGGGCCACTTTGCCCTCAGCCTTTGGGTAAGATCCTTTGCCAGCTGCATGGGTGTGGGTGGCAACTGTCCCTTAGGAGCCACCTAAAGGGTCCTTTGTCTCCCACACAGCCCCACCACCAGGATTTGTAGCAGAGATGGGGTGGGGATGCTGAGTGAGTCTAGAAACACGGGACCTCCTAAAGTCCCCAGAAAACCCTTCCCACTCAGCCAGGAGGGCATACACCACCCAGCTAGGAGGTGTATGCCCCAGCTCCCACTGCACACCCCATCCAAGCCTAGCCTAGAGGTCACTGGAGAACCCAGGGACAGGGACACCTGCTACAGGGAGTGAGGGTCCACCTCAGCCCCTTAAGACCAGCTTGGCCTTCTCTCTGGCTCGAAGACCCTCTCTTCAGTCTAGAGTCCACAGAGCTGGTCTGAATGGGCCCAGAAAGTCTGGACTCTAGATCACTGTTAGCGTGGAACAGAGTTCAGATGCAAAATGTCACATCCTACCATATGCAATGGCTGTTTCGCAGGCCAATTAGGGTTACCCTTCAGCAGTGTCCTGTGAATCAATTCAGTTGTAAATGGTGGATGCTCCTAACAGGCTCTATAGCTGGGCTGTGCTGGGACCTCCACTCCACCTCTTGGCCCTGAAGGACTTCATGCCCATGACCATGGTTAAGTGGCTCGGAGCAAGAGGTCAGGCCCTGAGGCAGCAGTGGGCAGCTGTGGACCCAGATGAGGGCCGCTCATGTTTTTCCTGCCTCCCCCTTTGGGTGCAGCCAGGACCAGAGTCAGAAAGAGCGGAAACCAGGCAGCCGAAGGGTAAGGAGATTAGATAAACACTTGGTGCTCCTCGTAGGCCTTGGCAGAAGAAAAGGCGCCTGCAGTAAACAGAAACTTGAACCTCAGAGGACTGGTGTGATCTGATGGCTGTGGAGCCAGAGACGTGGGTGAAAAGCCTCTGTTTGCTAAACCCCAAGAGCTTCAAGCTAAACTGGGAGAGCGGGAGCCACACACACTGCCTTTTTCCCAACAGTGCTACAAAGACCCATATCGAGGACCTCCCCTCCCCAATGTCAAGAGAAGGTCATCCGCCGCCAGCCTCAGTGAACACGCTGTTCCCATCAGGACCACCAGAGGGCAGTGCAAACCTAGACATAGAAGAGAGTGGGCTCAGCTTCTCCATCCTGGCCATTAGGAGGGGCCTCCTAGGACCCTGTGCCTCAGAGCGGCCTGGGAAGTTGGGAACAGAGGGAACCGCAAAAGATGAAAGGAAAGATGGGGCTCCAGGGCAACAGCTACTCAGTGTGGCACATCCACCTAGCTCACACGCCTTCAGTGGCCTCACCATGGGGTCAGGAGATGAGTGCTGCATTCAGTATGCCAACCTCTGGGTGCTTGTCATCTCCCCTAAGCCTCAGCATGGTGAATGCCATTAAAGTACCCACCTACACACACTACGCACAGACGGGCACGCCGGAGAGGCTGTGCAGTGACCCATCCAGCTGGTAATGGCACAGCTGGGCTTTCAACCCAGGGGCCCCAGATACACAGTATCAGAGTATGTGCTCCCAGCACCACCTAGCTGTCCTCGCTCTGGCTGCCATGATGCCCAGGAGTGGCCTGGGAGGGTACCTTTCCCCGGAAGCACAAAACCCCCTTGCGCCGGGATTTCAAAGTAACATGAATCAATGAGTGAGACTTCAGGTTCTTTTTAGCCCATGCAATCTGTGAAAAAGACACTGGAGTCAAGATCCTGTTGGCAAGCACTTACTTCAGTCACCTTTGTCCCCAGGCCTCAGACACAGAGATTAAGGAACTTCCTCACGTTGCTGGGACGGCTCAGAGCCCGTCTCACAGAAGATGCGTGTGAGCTCTGATTTGGAGGGCTGGTTCTGTGTCTTCTCTTGGGGAGGCTGGGAGAGAAAGGGTCTCATTGTGTAGTCCAGGCTGGCCTTGAGCTTAGCATGCAGCCCACCTTGTTCTCAGAGGCCTCTCCCACCTGCTGTCTGCTCAGACCTCACCAGCACTTCCTTCTGTCCTCTCAGATCAGCCATCTCCACTCACTCCTTTACTCTCAGCTCCTATCGTGTGCTCTGTGTTAGTCAGCTAACTCCACGATAATGTTGGGTAAGAAATGAACACCAAACTCAGCTGCCTGCAACAAGGACCACATAGTTTTCTCAGCCATGAGTCCAGAGGCAGCTAACACGGATCTTCAGGCTGAGGGTCAGCTAGGCCTGGAGCCTGGGGACAGTGCAGAGTCAGGTTTGCACCCTGGGACCTATCTCTTTCCCTGGGGGATGATAGCTCCCAAGGCAGGGTCTCCTTGTGTCAAAGGGCATAGGAATGTGAGAGCAAGTGAAAATATACAGTGTCTCTTGAGACACCATCATCATTGTCACACCATCACTACTATCATACTTTGTAAAGATTTGTTTATTTATTTGGTATAGGATCTTGCTACACAGCTCAGACTCATAGGGATCCTCCTGTCTCAGCCTCCCCAGTGCTGGGATTACAAGCATGCATCACCATGCCCAAGTTTTTGTTTTTGTTTTTTTATTTTTTTGGTGACTCGTTCAGCCCACCCTGGGAGCTGGGCTGACACAGCATGTGGGGCCGGGATCGAACTGCAGTCCCTGTGCATTTGCCTAAGCTTGCCTAAGCAGGGGCTTTAGACCGCTGAGCTATCTCACTGGCCCTCACCCAGTTTTGATTGCCAGCTTGGCACAGGGCTGGGCTGGCATGGCATGCAGCACTGGGGATTGAACCTGGGTCTTTGTGCTTGCCAGGTAGGTGCTTAGACAGCCAAGCTATCTCCCCAACCC